CTGTGAAGGCGTTTTGGTCACAGTTTAATTTTTTTGCTTTGTTTTTGAGCCAGAAGTGACAAAATTTGGATGAGAGGATTAACTCTTCAGTTACGAGGTTAAAGGTCGGTTGTCAGGCGGCAGGTGCACAGGTGCACCCACAGACAGGTAACTGCTGGCTAACGGTTAGTGACTGCTAACAGCACAGACGGAGCCCAGAGGCCGAGCTCGGAGGCTCAGATTAGCAGTTAGCATCCATTCTGTAAATAGTGCAGAAAGTTAAAGTGGAGTGGGGCGTGTAGCTCATTCTCACTGGTTTCACTGGGCTGATGTTGGGAAATGCTCAGATCAGACATCACCCTCCAGGACTGACATCAGTGTGATCTCCACTCGAGGCTCCTGAAGTGAGTCGGTCCTTTTGTTTAACTCGCCTGTTTGGATTTTCTTTAGGGTTAGAATTTGGGGGTGTGGCTTATTTAACAGGTGAGCCTGTAATTGAAGTTTGTGACCTGGACCTCTGGATCATGTTTGTGCAGTTTGGAGCTTTTTTTAATGCAGTTAAAACATCTTTGTGGCTCAACTGAAGATATTAGTGCTGCTGGCATTAATTAGCAGGTATCTGTCGGAGACGCAGGTTTGCTTGAGTCGGAGCTGCTGGACACGCCCACTGAACAGCAGGTGTCGCACCTCTGACATTCTCTCGAATCCTCAGCCTCTCCCTCTGAGCACTGATGTATTTTCAACACGATGATTAAAACCTGACGCCATCGTTCACTCGTGTCCTTAACCGCCACACTGCAGCCACTCCTGAGCATGAGTAGAAGCGGCTTTGTGGTGCTGCGGTGGCGGGCGGAGCAACCACTGTTCAGGGCGCACTGACTGTCCCAGCCGGGCTCTCCATCAGCGGCCGATCTGGTGCTAACGTTCATTTTTTCCAAAGGAACAAAACTAACGAGCCGAAACAAACGCGATCACCGGCGCGTCGTCACGCTGCAGACCGAGGGACTCGAACTCGTTTAAAGTCCAGATTGTTCCACTTTGTCCAGGTTCAGACGTTTATGTGCATGTTTACTAAACCAGTCGGTGATACAAGTGACGGGACGCTGTCTCCGTGTGTCCACATTTAAACGAACGTCTACGCGCTGCCTTCAGAGACGACTGTACAGAAAAACAAAGACGGGCAGTTCTGATGTTTAATGTTTGATCTGTAGAGAAAAACCGTTTCTTTGTAGTTCAGTGGTTTGTGTGTTAGTTACTTTAGTGTAAGTAATCCAAGGCCGTGGGTGAGATCTTCATCAGAGGCTGATGAACTGATGAAGATTCAGGTGAAACTGATAGTTTAGGCTCTCGTGATGTGATCCATCCTAAAGATGTCCTGCAGCGTGTCGTAGAGTCGCTCTTGTGGTTTTTCTTGTGCTGAATTTGCTCCAAACGAATCCCAGGCCTCGTTCTCGATCAGTCTCCGATTCCTGCGGCAGTGTGACTCGCACACACCGCGACGTGAAAAGCGATGTCCGGCGTCCGCCTCCAGCTGGACGTGACTCTGCTTTGTGACGCCGCCTCTGCTTCAGGTGCTTACGTGAAAACTAAGCCGGCCCGCTTTCCTTCAGCCAGGCACTTGACCGCAGCCGCCAGGCAAGCCTTTCAAATCTGGGCGGAGCCTCAGTTTCATGTCCGAGTGCTTTTTGACTCGGGTCGGGTTTTCCCAGCATCCTCAGCAGCGCGCTGAGGTTCCTCTGTTAATCAGGAAACAAGTCTTTTTTTGTATTTGACTTACGCACATTTAATCACAGTTTTCCCAGCATCCTCTCTGCCTCCTTTGAGGCGTTTTCTATCTTGTGTATACCACCTTTAACTTAAGGATGTAATCACAGCACTAACGAGCCGTCAGTGTTTCGAGCTGAAGCTGAGCTCTGAGGTCTCTGCTTTAATTCATCTCAGTTGGATTTTGACTGTTTGAATTTGAACAGCTTAAAAAAAATCGTCAGATAATTCAGTGACTTGAGTTTTACTTTGAAAAACTCCTTCCTCTGCACTCTCCCTGATCCTTCCTCCTCCTCTTCCTCCACAATGTGAATCTTCTCTTGTGGGAATTCTGGTGCTCGGAAAGACCCCAAAGTCTGACCAACTCGTAGCAATACCAGCCTCCCCCCTCCTCCACCTCCCTTCTTCACCTGTAATTTATTACAAACGTCACAGAGAGCGGAGTGTCGTCTGTAGTCGTCGGGAGACTTCAGGGCCTCTGAAACCTGGTGCTTCACTCGCAGGTTCCCACGTCGATCTGTGCGGGAACCTTTCGTGTTTTTTACTTTTACTGCTGATGCAGATGTTTGTAGCAGCTGCTTTCTAATCAATGAACAGATGTGTAAACGCTGCTGTGACTGGAGGGCTGAGGAGCGTCTCTGAACACGGAGGAGATTGGGGGGCGGTGCTCCTCGGCTCTCCCCGAACTGAAAGCTGCAGGTGTGTTTTCTTTTCTTCTTCCTGTCAACAGGACCACGTCTCTCCTCTGATCACACAGGTGCTGATTTTGTAATGTTTACAGGGGTTTTTGTTGTTCAAAGTGTTGCAGATTAAAATATTATAAACTGTTCCCAGTGTCGGTTTTTTCTTCATGTAGTCAGAATAACCTATGATCATACTCTTTAGTGGAAAGAAACACAAGTGTACATTAAACCTATAAAACCACTGATGAGCAGCCTGAGAGTAGAAACACGGCACTCTCAGATCTATGAGACTCGCTTTTATTGCTGGTGCAAATATTGAAATAATCCCAAAATAAAGATAAAAACTTTCCTAGAACTCGTCTTTATTTAAAAATCCCTGTGATTGGACAGATGCTGTTCGTGTGAACGTGTTGGCTGTCAGGTGAATGAACCCTGGGTCAGCTTATGGGTCTGATAAGACAGAAGGAAACGATGCTGGAGCCAACATGTAGTTCCAGCTTCTGATTGGTCTGTTTCAGGGTTTTAAACATGGGACTTCCTGTTGGAGTCATTCAGCCCACACCTGCACTCACTCACGTAGCCAGGCTCCTAATGAGGTACATTATGACTCAAATCCACTCAGTGACATTTCACACCCTTAATGCAGGGGTGGGGAACTCCAGGGCCGGTGTCCTGCAGGTTTTAGATAAAAGTGATTTAAATGATCTCCTCAACATGTCTTGAAGTTGTCCAGAGGCCTGGTAATGAACATGTGATTCAGGTGTGCTGACCCAGGGTGAGATCTAAAACCTGCAGGACACCGGCCCTTGAGGCCTGGAGTTCCCCACCCCTGTGTTAATGGGCAACTTGGGCTCCATTTGTTAAATATAAACCTAATTATCTGTTGACATCCCTGATGAACTGATTGTTAGCATTTAATAAATTCAAAGATCTGCAGGAACTCTGTGGAATAAAGTTTGTCAGGTTCCTTAAATGAGATGTGGAAACTCCAGTGAGGACATTTCAGTTTCAGATTTGCGTCTTTTTGTAGTGAATCTCAGCCCTAATCTGCATGAAGCAGAGGAACTTGTTTCCTACTTAGTCACCGCCACCCAAAGTGAAAGTCTGCTTCAGATCCGAGGTCTCAGGTTTCCCCTCACATCGTCCAGGCTGCCCAGTGTTCGAGACATCAGCCTCATTTTTGATAAAAAACACTTTGTGGTGCTCAAAGAAATCAAAAGCCTCTAATTCCATTAAAATATCCAGAAACACTCATGTGCTTTTTTCATGCAGGGACTATTTTCTTTCTGTCGTCTACATCCGCTCAGTGTGAGCCCTTCATCACAGGTAAAACTTTAAGAGCTGCAGTTCCTCCAACGGCCGCTTGGAGGCTCCATAAGTCTCCACCTTTATTTATTAACTCACCTGTTTGAAGCTTCGAGTTTGGTGGATGACTCCAGGAAGTGTGCTGCAACTTCAGTGACGTGCAAATATTTTATTAACCTGTGTCTGTGTGTTGTGCTCAGCTTGTGGACGCTCCGTTCATCAGGATTCAAACCTCTCCAAATATGGTCATTTAATACAGTCACTCGTGTAATACCGCTTTGAACCACAGGGTGGAGCAGCGAGTCAGTGCTGAATGCAATCTAAGGTGTGGGTAGTCATCTGTGCAAAATGCATGTTAGTCATGCTACTGATTCCAGCGCAGACAGGTCATTTTTCTGTGTGAGTGCATCATTTCTGTTTTAAATAGAAACCACACAGATCATCTCAGAGTTTTACATTTAATGACATTCCTTCCAGACGACCTGTTTGGCAGCAGTGTTCAAACTGAAGCCTGCAGCAGCCGACATGCAAGTGTGCGTCTGCAGACCCGTGTGTCACCCAGCCTGCAGATCCTCGGGGTGATGAATTAAAACCAGTTTTATCCAACAGCTTTAAAAATATTTATTTTAAGAATTTAAATAATTACATCATGCCAGAGTATTTTATTATGAATTTATTATTTAAAACAGACACTTTAAGGTTTTTAAATCAAAATATTAAATATCTGACTGCACTGAAACTCAAACTGAACGACGTGCTGACTTGAACAAACTGTTTTAAACAGAAATGATGCACTGAGATGAAACATGGAGCTCAAAGCTCGAGAGGAGGGTCGCTGCCTCCCTGTGGTCAAAGTGCTCGTTACATTTTTCAGCTGTTATAAAGCAGCAGTGAGTAAACTCAAACATTACTGAACCATGTCTCTCCGAGTACAAAAATATTCCAGCAGCTGGTGGGCTGCAGCTCCGACCTGCTTGAACGTGGCAGCAGCGGAGCTAAACTCTGAGCAACACGTGAACCATGAAACAGCGAGACGCCGGCGAGCTTCTGCTCCAACATCGAGAGCTGAAGAGGACATCAGAGACAAACAGTTAAATAAAACCCAATATGAGCTCGTCAGCTGACCCTCACCTGTCCGTCCACCATTAACCCGAGCTGTGCAGTGACTGAGGACCTGTGACCTCTGACCCAGAGCAGAAGCATGTGACTGATTTCAGGGTGTACCGGCCCTTTAAACGCGGGTGAACAGAGTGTCGGGGGAGGCGGGCATTAGAGAAATCTTTCCTTGTTTTTATTCATCACACATTTAGAAAATGAACCACACTATACAAATGTCCACCGTCCGGTACAGAGACTCCTGCTCGAACCCACCGACCTCGCTCTGACGCGACCTCAGCGGCTCCTCCTCCTCCGATGCAGTGGTGGACTTTAAGTTACAGGACCGGCGTCGACCTGGTGGGCGTGCGGCAGCAGCGGCCCGGGCGACTCCGCTCTTTATGCTTACGTGAGAATCTTTTTCGTGGTCGCTGTGGCGCAGGTAGGCAGTAGCATGCAGAAACCTTTGGATGCGGCTCTCCTCTGATTGGCTGTAGGCTATTTCATCACGCTTATGTAAAGGGGATGGGGGTGGTGATTGGGGGGCGGGGCTTGTTTATTCCTCTCAGTCTGTGGTTGTTTTTTTACAGTATGACAACAAGGAAGTGAGCGTTCGAGTCGCACGATGAGGCGGGGACGGGCGAGCGTGAAGAAGGGGTTTCCCGGTTCCGACAGGAGGGGCGTTTTCGTTCCTTCATCTCTTGAGGCGAGAGGAGCGAGCTGCCCCTCCCCCCCTCGGGTTTGGTGGCGGTCATCATCAGGGTGGTCACGCTCAGAGGGATCCACACTTTATTACTCAGACATAAAATAAAAAATAAAAAACAAAAAAGATAACAAATTAAAATTAAACTAAGGAGAGCCGGCGGCGGCAGGCGGGCAGGTGGAAGGGGGGAGGGCGGGTGGCGCTCAGGCCAGGTAGCTGTACGTGTCCTTCTCGCCGTCCACTCGCTCCAGGTACTCCTTCTCGATCAGGATGTCGATGCATTTCTGTCCACGGGGGAGAAAAAACACTCGTCACACTCTGAGCCACACACACACACACACACACACACACACACACGTGCATACCTTGATGACGGGGACTCGGGGTTTGAACCGGGATGACAGCTGGTTCAGGACCTCAGCCAGGAGCTGCTGGTGCTTCAGGACCTTCCTCATCTTCATGATCCTCACTATGGCAGCCTGCAAGGGACACAGGAGCGCCGTGTGAGAGCAGGAGGGCAAATCTGACAGCTGGCTCCATGCATGGAGCCTCGGAGAGTCAAACTGATGCATGCCCAGCGACGGCGCCTTTTACATGTTTACAACATGGGAAATATTTTTAGGCTTTAGCAGCAGATCCCAAAGACGCCCTTTAACCCATTTTTTTACGTTTACAGAGTGACTACAGCAGCCGTCTGAAGAGCAGCGTCTCCAGTTTTCCCGCCTTCACAGGGTCGACCGTCTGGTTTTGTGTGTTTGAATCTGATCAGAAAATATTTTAACAGTCACTGTTCTACAGTTTCAGACGAGCTCAGCGTAGCTGGGATCATACACACCGTTACTTTAACGCAGATAAGAATCTTTAGCAAACTGATTTGTTTGGATTAGAGGTTTTTGCTTCTGTCACACATTCAAACAAACGTTTCCTCGTTTGCTCCTGATGAACTCTGAGATTCTTGTTGTGTGTTCCTGTCTGTGCGTTCATGCTCTTATGTTTGTGGGTCTGTGACTTTTAGGGGAGCAGAAGCTGCACTGAACCACTTTATGTCCCTTCATGCCCTCATACAGCTCTGCTGGAGACGGAGGAAAAGCTCAGTGTTTGGTTTTTGTTGCTCTCTGGTCTTTTCAGCATGTTTTGAACGTGATGCAGAGGGTGGAGTGGAGTGGAGTGGAGTGGAGTGGAGTGGAGTGGGAGCTGCACCTGGATGAGGAGCTTTCGATCCTCCTCGATGTTCTTGTGAGTCGTCTCCTGCTCCTGTTTCTGCTCCGTCTTCATCGGCACGTTGATGTTCACCCTCAGCTTCTTACTGCGCAGCAAACAAGAGCAACAAGCTTCAGCATCCTCCTACATCACAGGCACACTTTTATTTAAGGCGGATTTAAGGTGGAGCGTGTCTCACTTCTTATATCCAAGGAAGAGTTTGATGACGGTGTCGGACTTGAACTCCACCTCGTCCACGTTGGCGTTCTCGTCCTCCAAAACCTGACGGACACAAAGTTTGGATTCAGCATCAGGTCTGCCATTACTAAAGCGTTTCTATGGAAACTAAAGACCAGCCACACGTGAGGATTTCACCTCCGGACACAAAGCGTGACTCACCAGCAGCTTCGATTTTAACAGAATCTGAAGAACTTGAACCAAAATGTCCTGAAAACAGAGCAGAGGGGTCAGAGACGCCTGCTCCGCGGCGACAGAGCAGCACGAAGGAAGGCGGCGGTGTTTGTGCGCTTACGGTTTTGATCTGTGTGCTGTCAGTGAGCTGCTGCACCGTGTAGCTGTCCTCCGTGTTGTACTGCAGCAGGATAGCCATCTGGAAGGTGGAGGCCTGCAGCGTGTACCTGTCAACAAGCACAGCAACAGTAAGGAGCGGCGTGGGCTCGGCTCCTTGCGGCCGCCACACGTACCTCACGACGGTGCGCTCAGAGCTCTGCAGGTCTGCTACCAGCCTGAGAGTCACCACAAAAGAAGAATTCAGCACGAGCCTCAGATTCTGCTCCGTGTCACAAATGCCTTAAAACCTTTCAGAGGCACCAAATACTCACTACAGTCCACATGTGTATTAATCCGCCTCTGAAAATAGTCCCTAAAGTGGTGTTTCATTCACTCCAGTGTGAAATAGAAACTCGGTAAGACACAAAAATACATTTACTGCAACAAACTCGCCGCGCAAGAATCTCAAATATATTTGATGTAACTTTCATGGCTGATTCATGAGACTTCAGATTCACCTGATCACCAGAGCTGTGGTGCCACAGCGCCCCCTACCTGTGCGCTCACAGACTGCACGCGTACCTGTTCTTGAAGCAGTTGGTGACCAGCTCTCCTTTGGACAGGTGATACAGCCAGGTCAGCTTCCTGCCGCTGTGCCTGCTGGCGTAGAACGCCGTGAAGCGCTGATAGCTCCGCTCCAGCTGTGCAGGAGGAGAGGGAGAGGGTCAGAGCCACGGTACTCAACCTGAGGTCTGCGGACCTGTAAGGGATCTTATTAACACCATTTGTCACGGCACAAAGCTGTGACCCACTTCCACAGTCGTCTGTCTGCACGTCTCTCCTGTGATCTCTCATCATATTAGGTTTTTATTTCTTGGCAGCAGTCGTTTTCTTAGCGCAGCTTATAAAGCAGGAAAACAAATACCAGGCATACGATTTAAACCCTCCATCCACACGTCCTTCAGCTGAAGGCGTTTAAAAAGTAAGAACAAAGTGTTGATGATGTGTGACCACTCAAACGTCCACACTGAGCTTTAAATGTTTAATGAGGAAATCAAACTGTCCTTGTTTTTACAGGAGAGATTTAGTTAAATACTGAACTAGAGCTTCAAAGTTTCAGATGCTGCCGGATCACAAAACCTACGACGTGTTAAATTCACCAGACACGAAACATTCATGAGGGGAAAACTTTAAGTTGAGGAGCGATATCGCTTCACTTTTCAAGGTTTGGTTGGAAAAGACATTCATGTCTTTGAACTCCTGGGATCAATAACTCATAAGAAACATTATGAAAACACCTCCTCCTCCTCCTTCATGTCACATCATTAAAGCAGTCGAGCTAGCAGCTCGTTTTCATTACCAGCAGCACTGCTTCATCATGTTTTTATGACTTATTGATCCCGTTAGATGAAATGTGGGAATCCTTTTCCAATCGTACCTGGAAAAGGTGGAAGCGTCTGCAGGGGGAGAGGTTTCTTTATCAAATCACGACTTTGATCTTCAGAAGTCAGAGTTTTATCTCTGAAATCAGCAAGAATGAAATTAGAAAAATGAATTTTAAAGCGTGCTGGTTTACCTCTGAGGGCAGAGCGAAGGTGCAGGACTGCTGGAAAGGCCAAGAGCCGGAGCTCAGAACCTGGATGCTGAAGTCCACTGTGACACAAACACAATGAAACTGCGTCCATCTTCACATACATGTGAGACTTTATTTTGAATGTGTATTTGATTTAGACAGCTGTGTGTGTGTGTGTGTGTGTGTGTGTGTGTGTGTGTGTGTGTGTGTGTGTGTGTGTGTGTGTGTGTGTGTCAGTGTGAGTCTGTGTGTGTGTGTCAGTGTGTGTGTCAGTGTGAGTCTGTGTGTGTGTGTCTGTGTGTGTGTCAGTGTGAGTCTGTGTGCGTGTCAGTGTGTGCATCAGTGTGTGTCTCTGTGTGTGTCAGTGTGTGTGTCAGTGTGTGTCAGTGTGTGCGTCTGTGTG